TGCATTTCTTGACTAGAAAAATGCAAACATGAGCAATCTACTGGACTTCTTGGACTATATGACAAACTGCAGAGATGAAAATACTCCTACAATCTATATATCCAACTGACAATCCTAATAAAAGGAAAGTGGTTTTTTTTCTCTGCCTATTTTTATTTTATTCAAGACAAGTGTCATGGTTCCGACAGATGAATCTCTTCAAAAGAACTTCGAGGCATTGTTTTCCTTAAAGAATCTTTTATTCGAAAAACAAAGTATCGACACTACATAGTTGAAGCCAAAAACTGAATTCCCCTCCCCTGGCACAAAGTAGCAAAGCGCAATTCCCTCCTCCAATTAACAGTCATAAATCACATTCCCCAATTAACTTGAACTGCGGGCTTTCTCCCCATGTCTGCTGTCCGCCAAATTTCTATCAACTCTGGACCTAATAACCTTGGGTTCCCATGGCTGAGTTATTATTGTTATGACTAGCTGGACTATCATCCACATTCCCCCTCCCAGCATCAACGAACTCTAAAGTGATAGAGAAAAGACAGCTACATTTCCATCTGTTGTCAAAGCAAGAACATCTGATGTTAGCAGCGTTGACAACAAGGTTAAAATACAAAACTCCAAAAATTCCAAAAAATTACAAAACAATCAAGACATTAAAAAAGAAAAAGGTGCATAAGAAAACCCAACACATATACACATATTATCCCCCCTAATTGAATACTGATTAATACATTACTACGACATTAGTTTCCATTTCTTTGAAACAGTCTTCTCACCAAATTTTTAAACAAATGAATCTATTTGCAAGTTATTGATCTGTCTTCAATAATATTAGTGACAAAATAGTTAATACGAAGAATAATAATACGGAAACAAAACAAAATTAAAGTTTTAAAACTCTCTGTTAACAGACTGTTATTGTAATTCACTCAGAAAGTTTATCATGGCATCTTTTCTGTCCCAAATCACCTCAAAAGTTAAAAATAATTTGTCTTAGATCTAATATCCACATTTGTTTTTGAATGCCATCTCTTCTCAATTGTTGTCTAATTAAATATAATAGATTCAGTCTCTACAATAAGTTTATCTTTCATCAAAGTCCAAATAGAAGTGGTTTCCAATTAGGCATAATAAATCCATCTAATCTCCCTCACTATTCATAAGAAAAAGAGATCTATTACTTCCCCATTCAATCAGAGTCCTAATACTGTAGTGATATGAGACCTTAAACAAGATGAGTGACAACATCAGCAAGTATTGTGGGCCCAATTGGCAAAAGAAAGCTCAGGACCATATTGATTGGAAACATGTGAAAAAGGCCTTCGTCCTGCAGTGGCTAAAATGATGATGATGATGGTGATGATGCACGCTTAAACTTTAGACAAATACATGGAATCCGCTCAGTTCTCCAGTTGTGAGAATATCTCTTTGGTCTGGAACTGGATCAAAGTCTTTTTGTATATCTTTATTCAATTTTACATGCCCCAGCATATTTTGCATGATCATTATCATCTCATCAAGCTTTTTAGAGAGTCTTTCAGCTAGAAGTTGCATACTACCCAACTTGTCTTTTCTTAGGTATCAGCCCCTGTTCAGCCATTCCTTTATCTGTGAAACTTGATCAGGGAACAAAGAACACTGAACTAGAAGGAAACCAAATGGATATTTGCTGAGTGTTTCTGTATATTTCAACCCAAGGTTTAAAAAAAAATAAAAAAAGATAAATTCCAAGTATTTTGCAAATTCAAAAAGTACAGAAATCCTGTGGTGAGAATCTAATATTGAAATAAGTCAAATGAAAACTCTTCACCTTCCAAAGGCGTGTCATGTTCCCTTATGGAAGGAACAAAAGTTATCCCAAACAATATATATCAAAAGAAAAAGAAAAAACAGTCCAGCAAGGGATTGAAATAAATCAGCATTCAACCGCTGTTTTTAAAGCAAAAAACAAAACACAACAATAAATTAAAAAGGTGAAAGTTAGGATCCCAGGCACGCTTAAGAAAACAAAACCACTGACAGGAAGATGTATATACCCAGTGACTTTTTAATCATTTCCAGGGGGAACTGGAATCTTCAAGACTCTCCTTCCCAACTGGGTCCATAGTTATCCCAAAGTCATCTTGGGTCATTCCTAAATGCTCCTATTCAAATCCAGGGAGTAGCTCTGCCAGAGAACCAGCTTTGGCAGTAAAATCAGAAGATTGTCAGTAAGAGGAAAGAAAAGCTTTTACTGTACAGCAGCCATTTTGGGGAGGGAAAGTGTTTTCAATTACAATAAAAAATAAAAGAAAAAAAAGCTACATTTAGAAACCAATGAAGGATATTGATTAAGATCATGATCATAGTTATCGACAGTAATTTATTTTTCATTAGAGCAAATTCATGAATGGTTGGTAGCTACTAAGAGGCTAGATTTAATCATCACACTAAGCCATCATGTGGTTTAATTATTTTTAGCTTGACATGTTGTATGAATACAGACACTGTGATTTAGTGCAATGGAAACCTAATCAAGTGAGATGTTGTAAGGACGAAACACTGATCAGCTTCCAATGTGGCAGATTCTTACCTAATCACACAATACCTAATCTATAGTCCTTTCCCATGGTTGAGACCACATATGTACCATCAGCCATGAGTCATCAAATAATCTCTCCAATATCTTGCATACATGGGTGATTCAGTGACTTCACCCACAAGAGTGCAGCAGGAAGAACAGCAAGTACAAAGGCTTGGATTTCCTGTCTTCTTTAACTTCTCTATCTCTGAGATTTTTTTGGAAAGGAACAGCCATACTGAAGACAGCTTCTTTTTGATCTTCTAGAAGTGGAAAAATAACACGTCAGACCTTCACAGGGAAGCATGAGGGTAGAAAGTATGAGATATTCCCCTCCCCTTCCTCCTGCCAAAAGTACCCTCTGCCACAGACTCAATGCAAAACCATTACGACCCACAGTGTCTATGGAGATTCTCAGTCATCCAGGTCATGATTATCCCAAAGATGCTTTTTCAAGAGGCTGGACTTTCTTGTTTTTCTTTGAAGACATTTCACTTCTCATCCAAGAAGGTTCTTCAGCCTCTTGAAAAAGCATCTTTGGTAATACAACCACAGATGAATTATTAGGACTTTTATATCAAAACAGGCTGCATGAAGAGCCAGAGGGCTATTTTCTTTCTCTAATTTCCCTAAAACACATTTCATTTGCTCAGTCAAGTGGAAATTACTACATTATAAAAAGCATTCCTTGTTTTGGCAAAAAACCAAGAATCTTGATTATAAAAAAGTATGATTTAATCAACCCACAAACCATATTTTTCAGAGAATATATTAAGAATTGGTCAAACAGAATGGATCTTGCTATATAGGAACTTTTTTTTAAAAAACAACAACCCCTAGATGATCACTATTACTTCTTTAACCCTCTGCTCACGATTTCCTTATTATTTAATTATTTAATCTATTATTTAAAGTTAGGTTGTATAATGCAAATGTTAGGTTGAGCCTAGCTAAGAGTTATCAGTGGTTACACTTTATTTTTCAATATAAAATGTGCTTTATAAAACATGTGAAAAGTTGCAACAGTCATTATTTCCAGTTTTATGATAGAAATAAGACATATAAACTAAAGGACCAAATGTTAGTTCTTTATCTCTGATAGCAGAATCACATCTTCCATAAAAGCAGAATACAAAGTTCAGGCAGGGTCTCAGCAATCGCTTCTTGCTTCTTGCCTGTACATATATCTGCAAGTATCCAGAGACAGCTATAAAATAAGGAAAGACACCTTTCTCAGGCTATATTAACTGAACACCAGCCAACTCCGTCCAGTCTTTGGTGTATGGACAAGATATACCTTAGTCCTACTTGCTAGTTTTAAGCATATGTGACTAAAAGAAGGGTGATTTGTATTTCAGTGGTTGGGTTCTCAAAATGTACTTACTTGTGGTTTACTCACTTACTGAGTTGGAATGAAATTAACAGCATGAATGCTTAATTAAACACAACTAAATAAACCCCATTTTCTGGGTTCACACAACATGCTAGAAAAAACACATTTGGTTCATCTTTGGTTTAGCCTGCTCTGCATTGAATAATCAAGTGAATTGTGGGCACCAGTAAGATACCAAAATAGGAAATGTAAGGAAGGCTTGTATACTGGAACTTTCTAATGCACTGTACCCTGTACAAATTATTACAATTTGGTGCATGGTGGCACAGGTTTCAGAAGCAAATAAAATAAAAAGATCGTCCAAATAACTACCACGATCCAAAGTTTCCTCTTCCACTGTTGCTAGGTTGCAATTCTCCCAAAGTTTCTGTGATAATAAAATGCACTGTCTTTAGGAAGCCTAAGCCTCCTTGTTCTCTCCAGCAGCTGATAAACTTTCTGTTTATCTTTCCAGAAAACTTCTTATTTGGAAACAATTTCTATTTCAGCAACATTTCCTTCTAAGTAAATGTGCAGGGGATGAATCACAGCCTGCAGCAGTTTTTAAAATCAACCAAAGGTGGAATGTTGGTTTCAGTCATGGAACCATCCCACAGACCACCCCACAGACTCAGGAAATATGATTTACTTACGAAGTCCACCCTTTTAAATATCCCATCAACGAAAGATCCATTAATATCCAGGCAGCCGTGTACCAGGGCTGTTTTTTTAAAATCTTCTACACTTCTTTTAAAGAGGGCATCCTCGTTCCTCTTAAAAGTTGAGGCACTGTGCGGAACAAGCCGCAGCACTCCTTTAACCTGCTCATTTTCTCCCCTCTGTGCTAGACAGGATCCCTCCCCGTGAAACGACATCTAATACAGGTCTCAAGAGGGGGGTAGAGAGGGGATCGGGGTCGAGGGAAGAGGAGCGATTTCGTCATCACTTGCCACAGTACGAGAAGCGTCAGCGTCTTAATGAGGCACTTCCTCATTAAGCAAGAGGAAGAGTTTTACCTGGGAATCGGGATTAGAGAGGGGGAGGAGCTGGCAGTGCCTCCTGTCTGGAGGAGGAAGAGGAGATCGCCGAAGTTGCTAGGAGTTCTTGCAGTTGCGTGAGCCACAAATAGGCAATTTAGCCTGCGAGGGTCGCAGCTACTGAACTTAGGGCAACTCCGCTGCGGCCGCGGAACAAAAGGGTGGAGATGGCTGCGGCTTGGTGGCTCGCACAGCCGCTTGCCAGGCTTGTGTTCGCTGCAGTGTTGGCCCTACAAGGGGCAGGTAAGCGGGGATCGGGTGCTTCTTTTTCTTTCCTCCTCCGCACGATCTCCGGGAGGGATGGAAAGCGAATCATGCTGCTGTTTCTCTTGAGTTGAAGGGAACTGGGGCGCTTTCTGGAAGCCTTGACAGGTGGGTGGAGAACAAATTACCAGGGCGCTCTTTGTTTCTGAAGAAGACTTTGGAACTTTAGACGCTTCCCACTTTTTTTTTCTTTATCTACACTCGCGCTGGTTGGTCAGAACTTTCCGTTTTTGAAATATATGTAGGAAGTTTTCGTACTAGTCGCCCTTTTTTCTACTCTGAGAACATGATTCGTTGGTTGCGTTCTCAAATAATGCTAAGTCTATACTAAGATAAGTGGTGTAAAATCTATTCATACTTCCTTCCCAGAAATTTTATCTCTTGAATCTGAAGCGATGGCGGCTTCTGACTTTCCTAAAAGATTGCTTTCAGTCTTTTGGAGTGCTTCTCCTACTTTGCTTAATGTCTTATTCTTTCAGATAATGCACCCGTTCTTGTATAGGTTGGAGTTCCTGGTCTGTTCATTCTCCGAATTCTATCTTTTAAGCAATTTCTGAATGCATTACTCTAATGCAATCTGGCTTTATTGTACACAAATTATAATCCCACTATGGGGGAGGGAATTATAAGGAGTCTGATAGTACTGGGCCGCAGTTAACTAAATCTTATCCTTTTTAATAAAATTTGTAAGTCAAAAAAGTTGCTACTAGCCTCCTTATGATTTTTTTGGCCAGTTCAGCTCTCTACCCACAATGTTTAGATTGTGGGAAAGTGGATCTTGGTGTATAGAGCCAGGGGTTCTCAACCTTGGCAACTTTAAGACTTGTGGACTTCAACTCCCAGAATTCCTCAGCCAAGATGGCTGAAGAATTCTGGGAGTTGAAGTCCACAAGTCTTAAAGTTGCCAAGGCTGGAGACTAAGAATCTTAACAATGTCCTCTATTTGGAGATATTCACCATTTGAAAATTAAGGCAGTTCCTGCTTGCAAGTAACAGCATTGGCCCATGTAAACCACATATGATTCTATAGATGGGATTCACAGAGGTGTGGGAACCTACCCCTCGGTCGGTGGATTACTCATTCTCACATAGTGCCCTTAAGAGATACAGGTAGTCCTCAACTTACATCAGTTCATTGACTGTTCAAATTTACAATGGCACTGAAAAAAATGGCTTAGGACTGTTTTTCACACTTATGACTGTTGCAGCATCCCACGATCATGTGATCAAAATTCAGATGCTTGGCACCTGGTTCATAGTTATGACAGTTGCAATATCCCATGGTCATGTGAACACCTTTTGTGACCTTCTGACAAGCAAATTCAATGGGAAAGCCATAGGAACTATGTTACTTAATTTAACAACTGTGGTGATTCGCTTAACAACTTGACAAGGAAGATTGCAAAATGGGGCAATTAATAATTGTCTCACTTAACAATAGAATTTTTGGGCTCAATTGTGGTAAATTGAGGACTACTTGTATTGGGTTTCATCATTCCCCTTTGAGTACGGCCAATGGAAATTGTTTGTAGGACACCTGGGGAAGATTAGAAGACAGAAGTAATATTTATTGCCCCCAAATGTTAAGAATATCTAATTCCTCCATTTCTGGGCCTTGCGTATTTTGTCCTTTTTTTCTTAAGAGATTTTATGGCTAGACAAGAAGGAGCAATAATTTTTCAAGCCATTTTTTTTATAGACAGTATTTATAGACACCATTCTCAGATATTTTAGTTGCTTATTGTTCCTTTGCCGTGGGACAGAAAATACTAGTTAATATGTTGTACTAAGCCATGGTTTATTTAACTTTGATTGTTTAATAAATCATAATAATCTAGTTTATTCAAAACTAATGATTTACAACACAACTATCAAGCTCACATACCTCAGTAAATTCAACCAAAAACACCACATTATGGCTTAGTATTATGGCATAGATACTAAATCTCACACACATTTGTGAGATATCTTACATTTTCCCATTAATCTTTAAATTGTGTCCATTAAATTGAATTAAGATGGAGCATCCAATGACATGTGGAAGCCCAGCCAATTTGATTTACCTAATTCTGGTTAAACTGCATTTTTGTAATATATGATTATTACATTAGGATGGGATAGAGGCTGATATTACAACTTGTTTGTTTTAATAGAAGGCATAACTTAGCTGTTGCCCTAGAAAACAGATCTGATAGGTTTTCATTACAAAAATCTCATTTCTTGAAAGTAGGAAGTATGGAACAATGGACCTAGTTAATTAGAATTTTAGTGGATTTGAGATCTTCAGTCCAGACTGGATAGTTTTGCAAAATGATAAATGCTGCTGTAACTCTTGATTTTCTGCACTGATCAAGAGTCCATTCTAGGAATCCACCTCTGATTTTAGGAACCAAAATTTAGGTAGTCCTCAATTTACAATCACAATTGAGGCCAACATTTATGTTGCTAAGTGAGACATTTGCCCCATTTTACAGTCTTTCTTAACACATATGTTAAGTGAAACACTGCAGTTATTAAATTAGTAACATGGTTGTTAAATGAATCTGGCTTCACCATTGCTTGTCAGAAGGTTGCAAAAAGTGATTACATAACATTAGGACACTGCAACCGTTATAAACAGGGCTTTTTTTCTCGGAGAAAAGGTGGCGGAACTCAAACCTGGCCACGCCCTCATCAAACCCTAGGACCGCCCCTTTAGAGAACAGGAATGCAAGTAAAATTTGGGAGGGGCTATTTCCGGTGCGGCCGGCCCGGAAAAAGGTGCCGGAACGCGGTTCCGCCGCGTTCCGGCTGAAAAAAAGCCCTGGTTATAAATATGAACCAGTTGCCAAGCATCTGAATTTTGATCACATGACCTGATGCTGCAATTGTTGTAAGTATGAAAAACAGTCATAAATCACTTTTTCAGTACCATTGTAACTTTGAATGGTCACTAAATGAACTGTTGTAAATCGAGGACTGCCTGTAGTACTGATTCTGAAAAGCATGCGTCATCAGTTCAGTGCATGTTCAGATCCAGAGAAGTGGTGATAGCTGCCCTGATTAAAATACTGTGGTAAAAGCATTATTCTGACTCTTGATGAAAAAGGTGTATTGGATTGACTAGAACTAGATCATTCCGTGGATCTTCAGTATTATAATGCATCTGAAACATTTATCTCCTGAGAATAAGTTACAAGCCAGTATGTTCTAATGCATCATTTCGCGGTGAGTCAGCTGATCAGAAGAAGCCTATTTATTGTCACATGCTCATTTGTGAACCCATTTATCTAGTATGATTATTGAGACTAGACTTAATGGTGGTCCTATTTTAAGATGGCACCACAGTGCAGACATTTGAAGATATCTATCTTGACACCTTCAAAGCATTGAAATGAACTGCTTCATTTGAAGGAATATCTTCTATGCATGCACAAATGTGCAGAAGACCTTTGAAGATCAGCAGAGCTGCTAGGTTGTATGTAACTTGGATGTTGTAAATGGAAGTGGCCCCACTTTGTTTTGCAGATCCACATCAAAGCAGCACTTTGTCAAAACCTTGATCAAAATGAATACTCCTTTGCTTTGAATATGCCTACCAATGTGAATATTATCAGAATGTTTTACAATACAACTTTTCTTCATCTGAGTTAGATAATGGAATATAAAGGAATTACAAACAATAGACTGCAAGATTTGCATGAATACCTGTTCTGAATTCAGGTCGTCCTACTTAAACTACTCTATTAAAAATGTACATCTATATTTTAAAATATACCTTTAAGTTGCTACATGTATGTATTGATTTGGGAGAGGTTTTCTTGCATCTTACTTTTGTCATTAATTGAAGCTGAGGAAAATAGCCATCTTATTATGTAGGACAATTTGAGGGATTCTCTTGTTCATTCGTCTAAAACATTTTTATATTGCTTCCCATTTTTTAAAAAAAAAATCTACAAGTACAAATAGCATGATAAGAATTGTAGCTATAGAGTTTTATGTGCCTTCCATTTATTTGTAAAATGTTTCAATTAATATTATTTGATTTTGACTTACCGTATTGTGTGGACTCATTTATGGTTTACTCAGTAAATCATGATTATATAAAATTTCTTTAGTTAATACAGGAAATTCTAACAGTGTATTCAGTTGCCCAATATATATTGCTCACAAAAATAAAGGGAACATTTTAACATGGAACTGAAGGAGTTTGCGTTCCCTTTATTTTTCTGAGCAGTATATTTGGGCTAGGACTGGGAACAGTGTCCAGTTAACCAGAAAACAACATGGAGGTACTGTTGCAGACATAGAAAGGTTTTTGATCTAGTTCTAGAAGCTTAGCTGTTTCTGTAGTCCATGGATATCTTGTTCACAAAATAAACCATGTAATATTTTGAATTCGGAGAACCCATTCATGTGGTTAGTGTATAATTCTCTCTGTTGGCTGGATTTAGAAAACTGGATTAAATAAATATTAGTAAGTGAGCTTGACGAGCTATCATACAAACACAGCTCATAGATGAAACTAACAAAATAAAGTACCCATTCTGATTAAAATGTATGGTTCATGGCTTAGTATGATGGTTCTAAAATCTGTCTTTACACAAAGGGAAAAAACAGACCAACCTATCAAAAATAGTGCCATAAAAAACAATATAGAAATACAAATTAAGATAGGCAAGAAAATGATAAGTGAGCACCTGTCCAGCCCAGACGAGTTCAAATCACCAGGACTAGATGGATTACACCCCAAAGTTCTCAAGGAACTGGCAGATGTGATCTCAGAACCACTGAACTATATCTTTCAAAGATCTTGGAGCACTGGGGAACTACCAGAGGACTGGAAAAGAGCTGATGTAGTTCCCATCTTCAAAAAAGGGAAAAAAATGGATCCAGGAAATTACAGACCTATCAGCCTGATCTCAATACCTGGGAAGATTCTGGAAAAGATAATCAAACAACGAATCAGCGAACACCTAGAGACAAACAAAATCACTACT